TATATATATATATATATATATATATATATATATATATATATATATATATATATACATATATATATATTACACGAAAAAAAATGTTTGTTTGGATTAACCAAATTTCAGAAAATCCCAGTTGAAGTTAAATCTTGTTAATTCGAACATTCTGTTAATTCGACTTATTTAATTTCGGAATTTCTGGCTCCCTATATTTTTGATTCATTCATATTTCACCGAAAACTTGGTTAATCCAATAAATAATTTCTTTCTTCCATGTAATACCTATGTAGTACGCACGAAAACAAAATTTTTTATTTCTTAGATATTTTTTCTCTCAGTGTAGTGTCAGATTTAGTCGCAGTACTTGAGCCGCCGCTTTCACAAAATTCCTGTGTACGAAACGCAAACAGCCTTTCCCGAGTGGCTAATCCGTTAAATACGGCTCGCATCGTGGTGCGGCATCGTTCGATAACGTAGCCCAAACCGGCGATTTATCATAACGCGACTGGACATTGCGTCACGGTCAAAGAAGAAAAGAGTCTGTTCAAATAAATTCCGTGGCTTCGTTACGCGGCGGCGTCCCGTTTTTTTAACGACGTTTAGAAAGTGGAATATCGAAACGCCGGCGCGTCACCGCATTTTCTGCGCCGCGCTTGTGACGGGGCAACGGTGTGTGCCGGGGATTAACCAACACCTACCATTGGACACTCACTACGCCGGTAACGACAGATAAATTAGCGATGCTCGCATTGTGGATGGGGTAATAGACGTCGCGTAGCTGACATTTAAACCGCGACAGTGCAACCACCTCTGTTGTAATCTCACGATGCCGAGCGCGTCGACGCGTCGTCATCATCGTCGTCGTCGTCGTCGGCGCTTCCATTTCTACTTGGCTGTCGCGCCTAAGCCGGCGCGCGTACGGCGCATAATGAGCCGCGACGAATTGCGGCAACGAGGATAAGAGCGATCGGCGCCCGCGGCCGAAAAGAATCGTCCCGACCCGGCCACAATTGATATCGATCGACGGCTACGTACGATCGAATCGCCCCGCCGCGGCTTTTGTCTATCGCGTAGATTCGCGATCGCGCGAGATGAGGCGAGTGGGAGGAAGTAATCACTACGTGGCGGTACGTCCGCGAAACTTCTCGCAACATGCGACTATAAATAATCGAGCGACTACAACGACCATCGCCGTCCCCGCCACCTCCTTCCTCCCCCACCTTCTGCCATCTCGTCCTCCTCTTCGCCCCGGAAACTTCGCACGGCGCACTCAGGCGATTGCAATTCCCTCCCTGTCAGAGCGCAATCGAGTGTGGCTCTCGTGGTGAACTCGATCGCAAAATCAGCGTGACCCGGCACGAGAAACGCCGTGAAAAGATGACGAGCAGGTGCGAGCTCGGGTGCGTCCGAGGCAACAACAACGATGACGACGATGACGACGACGACCACGACGACAACGATGCTGCAAGAGGTGAGAGGAGAATAAAGATGGAAAGACGCGCCTTGTAGAAGGGGGCAAACTATCAATGCCGTGACGTAGGAACGTAATAGGATAAAGATGGACATAAACGAAGCAGCGATTTTCCTCGGTTTTTGCGTCCTTTCAAAATCGATCATCAGTGTTGCATGAGCTTTGTTAAAGCGAGACGACAGCGAGATTCGATCGATTCGTAATGCATTCAATGGTACTTCGCGAGTCGTAATTATAGATTTTACAGAGACGCTCGTTAAACAGATTATGTCGTTAAAGTAATGAGAAGAGTTTGGCTTACTTGGAATTACGTGTACGGCGAAAAACGTACGCTAGCATGTATTGTCGAGCTCTTTCAGGTTACTCGTTCAATAGACAGCTGGCAGCATCGCTGTAAAAAGATCCAGTTGTGTTAATTTCAGATTATTCCGACAATCTTTACACAGATAAAGATATTTCAAGCGTGTAACTCAATTATGCCCATTTTTCCCAACGTCATTGAAACCTTAAAGTCATCTACAATACGTGGAGTGAGCTTGGTGAATGTGTTGGAGTAAGAAATAAAAATAATTTATTTTTTTACATATATATACTCTAACCCCTTACAGCTGAATTTTTCTTAAGTAAAAGAAATACTTCTGGTGTAAGAGAGTCAGAGTATATATAGGTAAAAAAATTAATTATTTTTATTTTTTACTCCAACATATTCATTAAGCTTACAGCCATATTATCCAAGACATTCACCAATCTTAGCCATATTATTATAGCCTTTTATCGCCATTATAGAAGGAAAGGATTAGGAAATGTATAATGGTAAATTAAAATAGAAATAAATGATAGATGAAATAAATTAAGACAGAAAGGAGAATACAATGTATGTGAAATTGGAATAAATTAGGGAATAAGAAGGTATTTTATGTTATGGTAGGATGGAATTTCGATAAAGTTTATGTAATAGTAGAACAAGAATATTAGTTATAATAATTACTTAAAAGCGATATAGATATGGAAGGGTGAATGTGGATAAGCAGATTTTTTTATAAACTAAGTTCCTTTTTGGCTGTGTAGCTGAAGTAATAAATACATATACTTTACTCCCATTGTATATGGTCCTTGAGACTCATCTACAATATGTGGAATAAACTTGGCGAATGTTGGAGTAAGAAATAAAAATAATTTATTTTCCTCATACTTCCCCGCCCTTATACTCTAGCCTCCTTATACTGTAAGTGTAATTTTCTTAAGCTAGAGCAATACTTCCGGTGTAAGGGAGCTGGAATATGGGGGGGGGGGG